GGGTAGAAGGAGTGGAATCGGACTATGTAGAAGGCCTGAGGGCAGAAGGAAGTCACACACAGCAAGCTGCAGGCTGGGCCCGGCTGGGCAGGGCAGGGCTGGGACGGGTTCTTGGTTTGGCCCCTCCCCCCACCTACCTCCGGAGGGAGAGAGAATTTGTTGAACTTCATCACCTGGTACATGTACTCTGTGGGAGACCAAGTGTCACCCCAAGGCACCCAGAGCCATGGCCCCCACCGTGGTCCCCATCTTCCCCGCTGCCCACCTCTAACTGGCCTCACCATCATGGCCCCAGGACATGAGGACGTTCTCCAACCCACAGTGCGGCTGGTACATGCCCAACTCTGTGCTGCAGGGAAAGATAGAGGGTGAGGGGCCCAGGCGCGATGTGGGGAGGAGGAGGGCCAGCCGCCCGGGAGGGGCACCTGTATCGAGGATCCTGGAGGTCCGGGTTGTCCTGGAAGGTGGAGTCATGGAAAACCACAGAAGCCTGGGGACGGCAGCCGACTGGGAAGGTGTCTCCAACAACCGCCCACTGGGGACATGCAGCCATGTGGGGGGTGACGTCCCTGCCCACGTGGAGGGTCCCCAGAGCCCAGAGCCCAGGCTGCCCCGGCCCCAACCTGTTGCCCCCTTCCACCCCTGCCCTTACCTGGGGCTCCCCTGCCAGAACCAGAACCTTCCCCAGGTCATGCAGCAGCCCCACAAGGTGGAACCAGTCTGGGAGGGGGAGGGACAGAACAGGCTAGTGGGCAGTGGTAAGGCTGGGGCCGAGGGTGAGGCTTGGGGGCCGAGGGGGAGGCTGGGGCCGAGGGAGAGGCTAGGAAAGGGCCAGGACCCCCCGTAGCCCCCCACTGCAGCCCACCACAGGAGGGGCACACACCCTTGTCGGGGTGGGCTTTCCGGATGCCCTCGGCAGTCTGGAAGGCATGGAAGGAATTGGGGAAGTCCACATCTGGGTCCGACTCATCCACCAGCCCGTCTAGCATGTCCACAGCCTCCAAGACAGTCATTTTCTTGTAGGAGAAGCCCCCAAACTGGGTGTGCTAAGCGAGGAAGGGGAGATCAGCATGGCCGTGGGGTTGGTGCAATCAGGGCCCGATCCCTCTCTATCCATTCAGCCTGGGGGTAGAAGGGAGGGGCAGCCCCACCCTGGGACTTGCAGCAGAGAGAGCTGCCAAGTACCTTTCTCCTGACGAAGTCCACAGTCTGCTGCGTGTGCATGAGCTTGTAGGTGGCAAAGACACGGTCCAGCAGCGGGCCAGACTGCAAGCCAGAAGGTCAGCCAGGAGGCTCCCATCCCTGCCCTTCACACCCATGCCGCCCCCCCCCCCACCCTCCGGCTCTGGTCTCCCAAGCTTGGCCCCAGAACTGTGAATGGGGGCTTCCTGAAGGCAGCCCCTGAGCTGTGCAAAAGGGGACATGCTGACTCCCCCGGGAGAGATCAGGCTGAGGTGGGGTTGGGCTTGGGGCAGGGCCGGGTGGGGTCCTTACACTGTAGTTTCGGAAGCTGCCCTTGTCTTTGGCCACCTCTGAGTCCACGTCGGGCCGGTAGACTAGGGAAGGGTCTGGGCCCTGGTTGGGTGGAGGATTAAACCCGTCTCACCTTGATGCCAGCTCCATGAGGACATAGGACGTCCCCTGGGGGCACCAGAGCCCAAGAGGGGGGTCAGCGGCGAGGCCGGTGGACAGCAGGGCACCGCCCCTCCCCAGCACACCAGCCATCTGGGGTGGCCTCGCTCTGGGTGTCCTTATCTGCAAAGTGGATGTCAGCGGGACGCCTGCTTCCAGGGCGATGCACCGCGTGCGGGATGCTGCATAGGAGCGCCGGGAACCTGGCATCTCCCGACAGAGACCTGGGTCTGCAGGGAGCCCCGCGTGGGGCCGTTGACCCTTGCCCCAGCTAGACCGGAAGGAGGAAGCCCTTTGACCGGGACCAGCAGGCCGGTGGGAATCAGCTCGGTGGGGGGGGTGTCTTGAGGGACAACCAGCCACTGGGCGATCAGTCAGTGGGGCCACATGTGCTGGGTCTGGAGGACTCACCACAGCCGCCTTCATCTTGAGGGAGCAGAGTTGGCAGGTGGGTCGGAGTGTGCCCCTATATATGCCCACAGGTTACATAAGTGACCGGACACCACCCAGCCCCTTGGCCTTGGCCCTCGGTAATGAGTGACCATCCACCCTCCTCCTGGCCTCAGAAGTTAATGTGTCAGCGCAGGAGCAGCTCCCAGAGGCCCCGGCCCCGGCCCTGGCCCCAGCCCCCTCTCCCTGATTTCAGCCTCTCTGGGCAACTGACCTGATTAGGACTTGGAACTCTTACAGCCGCTCCAGCTCCACCACCAGCCTCCTGCTCTTCCTCCAAGGGTCTTAAACACCTCCCTGCCCACAGTAGGCCCCTCCCGACAGGTGGTGCAGACCCCAGGCCCCACCCATCAGCCTCGGGCCCCTGGGATTATGGGAAGGCCAAGGTTTATAGGAAAAGTTATCCTGACACTGGCTAAGTGGGAGTGAAAGATTTTATTCACGACGATCGCAACAGGGGAGGGAGAACCCGGCCAAGACAGCTAGGGATTGACTGCCAATACGCAACGTAGGGGTCAATGGACAGAAAATTGCTAAGGGGAGACACAGAGGCTGGGGGACCCTTGCTGAAGGCAGGCCAGGTGATCAGACCTCAAGGGCAGGGGATGCTTGCTAATACCGGGTGAGGCCTAGCGGAGCAGCCTGGCTCAAGTTTGGTCAATGTGGGGGTGGGGGGTCTTTGTCTGGTTTTTGAGGTGAGGAGCGCCATCTCCTCACAGAAACAGCTGGGGCCCAACGGATCCATATGCCTTACCCCAAGGAGGAGGAAGACGCACAGCAAAACAAATCATTGTCTTATATTGGAAAGGCCGGCGATCCTGAGAAAGATCGGGGGGGGGGGGGGGGGGGGGGGGGTGGGGGGGGGGGGGTTATGCTCAGTATGGTGGAGCCATCTGGGGGCAGAAAGGGGGAGGACAGGGGTGAAGGTGTCAGGGTGTCAGCCTATGCCCCTCTGGGCATGTGGGTCTCAGCACCCGCTCAGCCTCATTGCAGACAAGTGGCCTGGGTGGGGCGTGCTGCTCTTACTGTGATGGTCTTCTGCCAGTGCTGAGGATAAACAGGGGTCCCCCATGTAAGGTGGCAAAGTGCAAGCTGCCTTCAGGAATCTTCTGACACTTGCCACATGCTGTCATTTGCTTATTTTACCTTTGAGTTTAATTTCCTTCTGTCTCCTCCCACTACGATGTCACTTAAGGGGGAGTATTCACTAATGCTTCTCTCACGTGCTCAGCAAGCATTTGCTGAAGGAATGGAGGGGGGCTCCAGGGAGGTGGCTGGAGCCATCACCCCAAAAGCAGGTGGTGGCTTGGACTAGAAAAAGGAGCAAATGACCAGCCAAGAGAGTTTGTGTGAGGGAGATGGAGGAGAGGCAGAGAGGAGGGGGCTGGCGGGGGTCGGAGGAACTTGGCATCAGGGGGCATCAGGTAGGTGGCCCAGACATGGCCTGGAGCTCAGGGGTCAGGTGGATGCCAGGTGCAATGCTGTGGCCTCGTGGCCCAGCACAGGGAAGCCTTGAGACCAGCAGTGCATCCTGCTTTGAGAAAAATGAACCCAAAACTGGTGGAGTTCCTCAGCAAAGGCACAGGGCACAGAATTCTGGGGGTCGGCGGCTCTGACCAGTGAGGAAGGGGCAATGTGGGGGTGTCCCTGGCAGAAGGAACAGCTTGTACAGAGGCCCAGACCAGATGCAGGCCCAGGACAGGAAGCCTGGGGGGGGGGGGCGGTGAGCCGAGTGGTGTCCTAACTCTCCCAACTTGACCCTCCCAGACCCCGCCTCTCTCTCTGGCCCTGCCCCGCTGCCCGCTCTCCCTGCCTGCCCTGCTGACCTCCTCCAGGGACCACAGGCACATGGCTCTGAGGCCTGGCCCCCTGGCCTCTCCCACACCCACTCACTCACCTGGTTCCAGCCTCTCTTAGCTGCTCTGGGTGAGGGTGGGGGCTTCCCCAGCCACACCCACACCTCCTGGGGACTCCGCTCTCGGCTCCCCTGGGAGCCCTGCCAATCCTCCAGGCAGCCAGCCCCGCTCTGCTTCCCACCACACCACTGACCACACTCGATTCAGGGCAGGGACCAGCCCGAACTGTCCCCGCAGGGCTTATGGCATTCTCGAAACGCCCATCTGGGCTCCCACCCTCCGGGGAGGGGGCAGGGCACCTGAGGGGCTCTGTGGGTGGGCACTCCCCTGCCCTCTGTGGCTGCAGTTTCTGCTTCTAGAAGTGGGATGACAGCACTTCCCTCAGAGTGGCCCAGAGGGGGACAAGGGCAAATGTTGACAGATTAAGTGACATTATGAGTGTTTGCCAAGTAATAGAAACCTCCCTTCAGAACCCTGGGTCATGCCCGCATGGCACGGGGGCGTCAGTAATGAGGGACTAGCAAAGGCTCAGGTATCACAGGGTGTAAAGGCCCTACCTGGGTTGGGGGGGACTTACCAGGAACTGGCTGAAGTCTTTATTTTAAGCCCTTAAGGACAATCCACCTCCCCAAATTCTCAGCAAGCCTGTTCCAGCCTTCTGCTATCGCTGAACTGCCTCCCCCCGCCCCCACCCTGTAAATCCCAGAGCTGGGCAGGGTGGGGCCGGGGAGATTGTATAGCCTGTGGCGCCCCCACCCTTGTTTGACCATCCTCAGGTGGGGATGTTCTGATGTGCCTATCTGGGCTGGGAGATCTTGCCCCCACCCAGCCCCACCTTGCCCTGAGGGATGGGAAGGGGCTTTGGCCCAGCGGCCCCAGTCTGGTTCCTGAATCTCCACGCCCTCTCCCAGGCTGGAGGTGGGGGGCCTGTCCTCTCTCACCACAGCCCTGGGGACGGGTACCACTACCACAGGGGGTCCTCCTCCCTGCTGTCCTCCCAGTCTCAAGGGCACAGGGAGTGGAAAGGCTGGGGACCCGGGACAGACCAAACACACATGCCAAAGCCAGGGTTTAATCTGATAACTCCAGACCAGAGGGGAAGGGGCCACACTGGCCCATCTCCTGGCCCAGCGTGGCCCTGGGTCTCCTGCTCCACATACTTGGGCCGCCCCTGCCCCTCTGAAGTCCCTTTCCGGAGACCAGGCTCACTGCAGATCTACTCGGGTTGACACATGTGCGTGGCCTTCCATGTCCAAAGCCAGTCAAGGTTGCGTGCTACGGGACCGGGTGGGTGTGGGGTGGGGTGGGAGTGGCCTTGGGGGCCTGCATGCTTTCTGGTTAAGGCTGTTTGCAGGAGGTCCAGGGGGCTGGGTGGAGGCTGGGGGCCCAGGTGCAGCTCTGGGACTGGGGGTGGGGGGCAGCATCCCAGCCGGGATGGGCAGAGGTACGTCCTGCTCCACCTCAGCCGAAGCTGTTGGCGCTGCTGAGGTCCACGGGGACTGTGTCCTGTGAGTTCCCTGGGTTAAACAGCTTCCACAGGCGGTGGTTGAGGTTCTGCACCTGGCAGGTGCTCAGCATACAGCCCCGTTGCGCGTGCTGGGCTAGGGACCTGCGGAAGCCCAAGTGTCGCAGGGAGCCACCACCCTGGAGACGCTGGGCCATGGCTGGGGCTTCGTCTTCGTCGGCGCCCCCCTGTGGCTGGAGGGCCTGGTGTAGCTTCCACATCACAGGCTTACCCGCAGCGTGTCCAGGCCCCAGGCCACTGGAAGAGGTCAGGGCTGGGGGCACCCTGCAGAGGGGGATGGAGGAAGTAAACCTGATGGCCCAACCTTTCCAGGACCCTCCAAACACAACCCACTTACCCCTCCACACAGGCCTGGGGTCACAGGCAAGGGGAAGCCCAGTTTCCCCAACAGCCTGGAGCACAGCCAGGGGAACCCCACAGCACCCCTCTACACACACACACACACACACACACACACAGCCTGTTGCATGGCCAGGGGAAGCCCATGGCCCCTTGTGAGCTCTGGGCTTGGGTCCTGGCCCTCAGCCATCACAGTAGCCCAGGCCGTGTGTCCATTTACCTGGACGAAGGGCACCCCTGGCCTCTGTCTGTGGGTCACTATACTCATGACCCCAGTGACCACCCCCCCCAGCCCTCCCCTTGGAGTGAGGGAAGGTGGGCAATCCTGGGATTCCTCCAGCCTCCCCTATCCTAGGCAACCTCTCCTCGAAGGGATTCCTCTACGAATGGGGGAGGGGAGTGCCCTAGGAGGGAGGCCAAGAAAGAGGGGTCCCTTGCCCTGCTCAGGATTTGCTGAAGGCATATTTGCTGGCCTCTCATATAGAGGGTAAGCCCTAGAGGCAGGGGGTGGTTTCTCCACTGCAGGAAGAATGGGGGGTTTCGGGGAGAGGGGAGTTGAGGGAGGCCTCCCCATGGATTCTGATTTCCTTTTCCTTAGGCCCCGAGGTTTGGGCTGATGTGAACCCCACTCACCTGAGTGGGACAGGCCATTGGCTTCCATCCAGGCTGCTGGACAGTGTGCTTGGGAGCAGCAGGCAGAGGAGGTTGATGCAACCAAAGGTGAGCGGCAGGGGCCAGGCCATGCGGGCGGGGCTGGAAGGAGTATGAGCCAGGTAGCTGTGGGGAGCGGCCCTTACCGCCAGCCACCCCTGAGCCCGGCACGTTGGAAGCCCTGGTGATCGGGGGTGCAGGCGTGGGCACAGGCAAGCTTGTACCTGTGTCTAATGGCGAGAGGGTCTCAGGCAAGAAGCAGGCCAGTGGGTCGGCCTGCTGTCTGTTGGCTGGGTGGAGAACACCTGGCAGGTGGGGGACCTCCTCAGTCAGGCTGCAGTCTGTGGGTCCTGCTGGAGACCTGGCCTCCACATCTCCAGATCTAAATAGTCTTTCCAGGAGGAGGCGGAGCCGGATGCCCCAGCTGCAGGGGGGGGCCCTCCTGCTCCTGGCTCCTGCCTTGCCTGACAGGCACCCCACCCCACTGGGAAGTGCTCAACGAATGGCCAGGGACCCCAGTGGCTGCGAGTCTCATCTCTGGTGCCTTCTGGTGGGGAACACTGTCCTGGAGCCTGGGAATTTTCCAGGAGTGGGCATTAGAGTTACAGTCAGCCACGCTGGGTCCCACCCACCACCTCCTGGTCCTGAGTGTCGGCCCCTCAAATGTCTGCCCTAATGAGTGGTTGGGGGGCCTGGCCAGAATCACGGCTGGGGAACAGCAGGCTAGATATTCAGTTCCTCACAAAGGTGATTCGGAGACCCTTCCTCAAGATGCCCTCACAGCTGTGTTCTGAACAATCTCTACCCTCTTTTTCCATTCTACGGAAGTATTAAATAGTTTTTGTAAGAAATTTAAGTAAGTACAAAGCGAGACCCCTGCATTGCCACCCATTATGGATTATTCTGGGTGGGCACCCCACTCCTGACTTTCTCTTATGCACACTAGTACATTTAGCTCGGGGCAGGTGGCGGTGTGTGTATTGCACGTGGAAGTAAAAATTAGGGTAAAAGTTAGAGTAAACAGAGAGACCTCTGTTCTTTCTTACAATTGGCTCTGCTCCAATCTGTAGGTGTTCTGTAACTACTCGGCTGATCTTTTACTAATGAGCAATCAGGTGATTTCCAGTCTTTCCAAGAGTAAGAACCTTTCTGTTGTGAGCTCACGAAAGTGTCTATAGAGGGTATTTTCCTAGCAGCGGAAATTCCGGTTGAAGGTGACCCTGTTTGTGTGGACAGAGAGTGCCAGCTTGTTCCCCGCAAAGCCTGTGCCAGTCCACTCTCCCCCGATGATGGATTTGACATTGGCAGGTCTTGGTGTCTTTGTCAGTTTGAGAAGGGATAATCACCCCATCATCCCCACCCCAGATGTTTCTTTGATCATCTGAGCATCTCTGTGTCCATCCACATTTCCTCTCCTGTCTTAGCTGCCCCAGTCCTGCTCCCCCTGTTAAGTCATCACGGATGACCTGGTCACTGTTCCGCCTGCTGTGCACACCATGGGAGCTCTATAAACATTTGCTGAGTGAATAAATCAACAAGCGTTGACTGCATGTCACATTAAAGAGCTTGGTTCACATCCTGAAGAAGGTAGGGAGGCATCGGCAGCTATTCTGGTTTCTATTTGTTTATTTGTTTTTACCAGCTGGGGGAGGAGAGTGATGCCATCATATTTATCTTAGACAAGTGCTGCACAGCAGGAGGGGTGTGTGGGGCAGAGCAGCTGGGTCAGAGAGAAATGAGCGACACTGGAGGGCAGGTGGAGACTGTCATCCCTTCTGTTTGCTGATGCAGGGAGACCCTAGAGAGAGAGGGTGGGGTTTGGCTGCCTGGGGTCACCCTGGCAGAGGTATCCAGCTGCCCTCTAGCCTCATGGGTCTGGGGCTGACCTGGAACACAGCTCTGAGGGTTTCGTAGATAGCAAGGCTCGGAGAGGTGAGAAGTGTGGTGAGCTCTGTCCACAGATTGTGCGGAGAGGGGACAGAAGCCACATGCCAGCTCTGGAGGGACGACTGGGGAAGGGGTGGGCAGAGGCCCCCCGGGAGGCGGGTCTGCAGCTGCTTCTCCTCTTGCCAGCTCCTCTCCCCTATCTGTCTGGCACACTGATTCCAGGGCCATCTCTCCAAAACTCAAAGGTGATCACACTACTCACCCCTCCAATAAAGAACAATCAAATCAAAATTCTTTGTCTCCACAAGATTTTTGATCTGGGAAAGTGGAGGGAAACCCCAGTGAAGTTCACAGGCCATGGCTCACTGCATTCTTCGGCCTGTGGTCCTACCTCCCCAAAGCCCCACAGATGGATGGCGTGTCTTTTGGTCCCCAAGTCTCAGTCTGCCTGCTTATTTTGCCCCTGTCCTTCCGACTGGATGAGAAGCCCCCTCCATGATCCCACAGCCTCCTCTACAGCACACCTCATGGTACGTATTGTCTATAACTGTCCATGTGCCCTCCAAGGAGAAACGCAAGGGCTTCCTTCAGTTACCCTCCCTTGCACGAGCTGCTCATCTGTAAAAATTTGCAGGAAGACCAGAGGCTTCCCTGGTGAGCAGAGACTGGTCCATAGAAGGCACATAGTGCTGGTGAACGTTGTAAGAACTCTAGAGAAGAAATCTGTGTGGTGCAAGAAAAGCTAGGGTGCAAGCTGGGCGGCTCAGTTGGTTAAGCGTCCGACTTCAGGTCAAGTCATGATCTCACGGTTTGTGGGTTTGAGCCCCACGTCAGGCTCTGTGCTGAGAGCTTGGAGCCTGGAACCTGCTTCAGATTGTGTCCCCCAATTCTGTGCCCCTTCCTCCCTCAAAAATAACTAAACATTTGAACAAAAAAATTTTTTAAAGTGGGCAGATTGAGTTTAACTTGATAGCCAGGATCCAAGGGAGAAAGGTTGAAAAATTGAGAATAGGGGACATTGATAAGGAAGAGCAAGTGATGGGGAGGAGGAGGGGGGTTGGGGTGTGTGGGGCAGACTTGGGGGTTGGTAATGCAACACAGGCTTTCCATCTGATGGCTCTGGTTTCTCTGTGAAGGAGAGCTGGGGGGGCGGGGCATCTCTGAGACACAGCAGGTGGAGTCAGAGACTGACCGGACATCAGCAGGCTGGGCTTGTGTGTGTGTGTGGAATGTCCATCTGCAGTTGGACCACGGGGTCGTCATGGCCACCCTGCACTGTATGGTGGTGCAGGAACCGCATGGCTGGGGTTTGCCAGGTGGGGACAGTGAAAACAAAGTCAGAGAGGCAGGGGCTAATGAGGACACGGGCAGGACGACAGGCAATGGGAGTCACATTGGGTGGGGATAAGAGGAGGAAAGGAGGAAGCCAGAGAGTCACTCCCCTGTAAGGAGGTTAACTCTGCTGTGGAGAGAGGAGGGGAGAGAGCAGGCACAATTCTCCGGAAGAGGGGGAATCAGGCAGAGGCAAGCACCTCTGATGGTGACGTGGACAACGCAGCGGTCAGGAGACTCAACAGTGAGAAGCTACACAGTGGGGGTGTCATGGTCTAGAAGGGACCCCAAACCTACTCTTGACGCTAAGGCATATCTGAGAGGGCTGTGAGGAATGGGCTCCTTAGGGCACAAGGGTGGGGGGCAGGGTCTCCACAGTGTCTGAGAGACAGGCAGCCCTAGTCTTAGGTGCCAGAGGACTTGCCAGGGACCCTGCCTGCCTGCCCTACACACAGCTCAATGGTGTGGTCATGTGGCGATGAGGATCTTTATGGGTATAAGTGATGGAAACCAGCTGGGTGCCGAAGGAGAGCTTCTCAGCCTATGTACCCAGTACCGGACAGGAGCAGAGGAGGCTGTGTCTGGGCCTGTGCCCCAGGAGGGGTGCCTGGGGCAGGGTGTCCCTGGTGGGGTCTCTCAGTTCTTGTCTCTGGATTGGATTTCATTCATTCTCCAGCTGGTTCCTACACGGGTGTGGAGCACGGATGCCAGCAGTTTGTTCATTCATAGGCTCTGGCGCAGCCAAGCATCTGAAAAGAAGCCGTCCTGCCGGCCCCTCCCAGCCCGCTTCCTCCACCTCTGCAGCTCCTCTCCTAGCCTGTCCTGCCGCAGACGCCGTGTCCCCCTTGCCCATCCCTGTGGCACCGCGGCGGAGGGGTGGGGGGTGGGCAGCCCTGGCCCTTGTGGGTGGTGGGCACTGTCAGGGACTCTGCTGGGTGCAGCTTTCTCCTGGGCACGGGAGCCGGCCTCCAGCCCTCACGGCTTAGAACGCGGCTCTGCACAGCTGGATGGCCGGCGCAACCTTTTTAAAGGACACGTGTTCAATGTTTCACCCCACGGAGGTGGGGCTTCCAGGTGGGGCCCGAGCCCTCCTCAGGCCGGCGAACACCAAGGGCAAGTCCTGAGCTCTCCCCCAGCAATCGCCAGGCTGGCAGCCCCTGAGGGGACCAGGGAGATCTGGGGGAAGGGCCAGGCCCTTCTGCCTTCCTCCAAACTGACAGCTCCGGGGGACAGCGGGAACCCCGGGAGCTCCCAGGAGCGAGACCCAGCCCTCTCGGTCCCGGCGTAGGGGCCGGGAGCTGCGGAACCACCTCCGACCCCGGCCGCGTCTGCAGTTGACCCGCGCGAGCCGCCGTCGCTGTCAGCTCCCGGAGGGCGGTACCCAGGCCCCATGAGGGCTGTGCTGGGCGGAGTCCCGCCCCCGGGAACCGAGCCCGCGCCGATTGGGCCAATTGGAATGCGTAGCTGAGAGCCCCGCCCACGATGGAGGGCGGGGCGCGGCCGCGCAGGCGCACGGCGCGGCCGGGCGGGCCGGCTGGCTGGGAAGATGGCGGCGGGAGTCCTGGCCGCCGCCGCGGAGCGGGCCCGGGGTGTCCGGGGAGCGCGGGCCAGGGCCGGGGCCGGGCAATGAGCGCGCCGCCCTCGCGTCCCCGAGCCGCGGAGCCCGCCCGCGCCCCTCGCCATGGCGCGGCTCGCGGACTACTTCGTGCTGGTGGCGTTCGGGCCGCACCCGCGCGGTGAGTGCCCGGCCCGCGGCCGAGGGCTGAAGGCGGAGGGCCGAGCCTGGGGACCGAGAAGGGTCAGCCGGGGCGGCGGGACAGGCGCGCCGGGGCAGTCGCGGGGACACGCGAAGCTGGTGGGCCGCGGCTGCCGT